GTACGAAGACGTGTGATCAAGACTGGGGTCACAGAGACCAGGATGTCTACACCACGACTATTAGAAACAGTCTCAGCTATCGCGGTGGGCACGGCTCTAGTTCCGAATCTTTCAACCGGCAGCTCTGATGATTCTAAACGTTGGATCCCAAACTAGTGGTCCATAGTGTAACACACTGCTTGGGAACAAAAAGTCGCATGGTCGTCGGGGGCTTTGCAAAGCTGATCGAAAACACTCGAGTCGCAGTATCTTCCACACTGTAAAGAACTTGTTACATGTTAGACGATGAAGACAGCATCATAGAGAACATGCCACAAGCCACCTTCTCTCGATCAGGCACGCTGAACCCAAAATAACATCGACAAAGCCCAGATCTATGCGTGGCCAGAGCCTAGAGCCAGCAAGCTCCTGCATCTGGCCTTTTGCGAGCTTTCAGAGTTTAAGGTCTAAGGTCAAAGGGGCTTAGGCATGCGATGGCCAACACTCGATTTGGGCCGGGCTGCTGGGGACGGATACATCTGAGACCCGGATGCCTTCGCCCTCTTTGGACTCGATCTCCTTGGTTAGACAAGTCCAGGAGCGGATGTTCTGCCTGTTTGAAGGTATATGTTGATGACTATGTTGTTGATGACTGTGTCACTATGTTGTTGCGGATTCGAAGCTTTAGGATCAGCGATTGCAACACTAAGTGGGGCTGTTCTTGATTATGGTTGCACCCCGTAGCTCGAACATCGCCTTGCGCTTCGCCCTTGCACGCTCTTGCGCGCACACGGTTTTAAACACCTTCCCACCTTGAAACCTTGATAAACATTCTTACACTACTTTATTGCCCGTGCGCGCGCTTGCGCCGCGCTGGTTTTGGAACAGGTCCTAAACCTGCATCATCATATTAAAGTGTGCTGTTAGTCAAGGGTCAAGAGGCGCCGGTATAGAACAACTCTCAATTCAAATCCTGTACACATAGGCCCAAGAAGTTGATCCTGCCTATTTGTAGTGCATCCAATACCTCCTTCAGGGGTTTAAGTAGGCAAGCTTGATTCCCACCAAGTGTTCAAACCGAAGTTCACACCCTATGACGACGGCACCACGGATCAAAGACTATTTCTGATTCACAATCGGGCTCTCACTTCCGTATACTACAGATATACAATGCTTCGCAGCCCCTGATATGTAGGCACGTGGCAATCATCTATCTGTGCCGTCGTCAGAAAACGCACAGGTAACAGCAAACCTGCGCTGCAAAGATGCAAACCTTAGCCCGGGTCTCGAAATCCGAAACTTGGCGTACGACAACTTCACCCAATTGAAATCTGAAAAACCTAAGCTTAACACAGGGATTGTAGTTTCGTGCTTCGGGACTACAGATTTAGAGTCTGAGGTAGCTGAGCAATCCTCCAGGCCTCAGACCTTGAAGCTCGACGAAAGCCGCCAAAACGACTTGAAAAATGGAATAAGGCTGTGAGGGTGCATATGACATAAGATACTCAAATGTACTAGGACTGTGGGGTCGGGGATGCTGTTGCTAAGCATTCCTGCCTCTGAACCCCCCGACCTCTGAACCCCTCAATGTTTGGGGGATGAGGTTACAGCAGCTGAAGACCTACAAGGCATGTTCCCTCAGCCTTTGCCTTACAGATCTTATTTACTATGGTACAGGGTTTAGGGTTTAGGGTAGCTCAAGACGATCCAAAGTAGGTACTTCGGGTTTAGGGTTACGAGAATCTTGCACACTCTATGCAAGGCAGTCGCTCCGAGAATTAGAATGCCCAGGACCTGCAGTGCGCAGCAAAAGGAATTCGGCATTCGGGTTTCAGACTGTCTTGCTTCCCCACTATAAGGGATACTATAACGGTCCTATAAGGGGTACTATAAGGGTTCTTCTATAATATAGGGTTCCTAAGCCAGGGCCAATAAGGTTGGACTTTCAGATTACTACTACTAAATTCTACGAACCCAACAAGTTTCAAGGTTGGGTATTGGGGAACTAAGGCAGTGACTTAGTCGAGCAGGGTTCGGTACCTTTCAAGAACACTGATCAACCCTCAACCCTAAAACCCTAAAGCCCCTAACCCTACAACCACAACCGAACCCTAAACCCTAAACCCCTAAACCCTAAACCCTAAACCCTATACCCCTAAACCCCTAAACCCCTAAACCCCTAAACCCTAAACCCTACAAGGCGCTGGTCTAGGAGGTCAAAACTTTGGGGGCATATGCTTGTTGAGGATTTGGGCTTGGGGGCGCTCCTGCTGTCTTCGGCTCTCGGATTTGGGAACTTAGCGGTTAGGTACACCCTAAGCCCTACCCGTAGGCCCTAAAGTAGTTCCTTTTGGGGTTCATATGTAGAATCCTATAAGGTAATCCCAACAAGGCACTACTATGGGGCCTATGGGGAAGCACTCTCTCGCAGAAGGGTTTAGGGCTTAGGGTTTAGGGTTTGGGGTTTAGGGTTTGTTTCCGTCCAATCCTCAAAGTGTCGGGTCTAGGGTTACAGTACAAAAACACACACTTACAAACTCGGCAGCCAGAAGAAGAGCACTTCGAACCCTAAACCCTCAAAGCCCCAACAAGCCCTAGAAGCCGTAGACCGTCATCCTCTGCGAAAGCCTGCACCTCCAAATTCTTGAGCCCTGAAAATAAAAAATGCCACACCCCTAACCCAAAGCCTAGATATCTCTGACAAAAGCCTCATGATTCCCTGTAAGACACCCTAAATATCAATATCTTCGACTGAACCCTAAACCCTAAACCCTAAACCTGTATCTGGAGGGTATTGCCTTCAGGTACTCGCAGAGCTTTCCGCCGAAGTTCGTTGCCAGGTTGCAGAAGGCGTTGCAGTCGATTCCTTTACGGTTTAGGAATTACCCGGTTTAGGGTTTAGGGGTTTAGGGGTTTAGGGTTTAGGGTTTAGGGTTTAGGGTTTACGGTTTAGGAATTACCGGTGGCTCGAACTATCTACTCTTTAGGGCCGAGCCCCTGCACTATTATGTAGCGTTTGGAGCTACGGATAAGGTTGACGCCTATAGGGCTGAACGGCTTAAGGTAAAGATGCGCGGGTAGTTCTCTAAACTAGGGTCCCATGTACGGTCCTTCTTATAAGGGTGCCAGTACTGTTGTGGGGACCTAAACAAGGGCCCTAGTTTAGAGAACTATCCATATGGTATATTATGAACCTTAAACCCTAAACCCTAAACTTTAAAAACAATTTAAAATCTTTTTCGGGCTCGTTTCTCTGCGAGGCAAATCTTTGCTGGGCTCACAGCCGAAAAAGTCGATTGTTCCAGGGGTCCAAGAATTTGACTACATGGCTGTGCGTTTCGGGGCTGTAGGTTTGCGATTTCAGGGCTGACACAGTTCAGGACTGAAATGTCAGGAATTAGAGCAGATGGGCTCATGTAGGGGTAAGGGTGTGGGGTTCACATGTCCTTGCGTTTAATGTTTCAGGGTTTAATGTAGGCAACAAGTCTGTGGCTTTGGGGTTCGGGGTTGCCTGTGTTGCACCGTCTCTGGTTGCTGGATCGGTGAACATTCCTTGCAGCCCTTGCCCTAAACCCTAACCCTGAAAACGCCCAATAGACTTGAGATTTTCTGGGGCTGTATACTCCATGAAGGAGCCACGAGGGACAGGACTAAATTATTCAGCCCCCTATATTAAAGCATTGGCACAACATGCGACCCCCAAGTCTTCAACTTCAGCACGTGCCGTTTGGGAATTTCTGAAAATAAGGGGTACCTTATTTCGGGGTCCTTATACTAAGGGTACCTTAGCCTACCGAAACCTACTTTTTTGTAGGGTCCCTATAAATTCCATATTAGGTTTTCTAACCCTAAACCCTAGACCTCTAAACTTGCCTAAACCCTATAAGCCTCCAACCCATCTACAACTGGTCGATGCGAGCTTCCGGCATAATGGCAAACCCCACTCTTCGCAGTCAGCCGGCCGGTGTGCTCCCACTCCTGGGCTGATCGGGCACCTTCTATGAGGTTCCGGGTTAGGGTTTAGGGTCCAGGTGAGACCCAAAGGAATGAGAAGATGATGGTTGTGGGCACGATATGCTAGAATTCCTTCAGGCTGTTTTCCGAAAACATAAACTTTGAGGATGTTGCAGGGTTGAGAATTCGGGGTCGCAGTTGCAGATTGGGCTGAGATTCGGGATCGATGCTGAGAAGTGCCCAGGTCTGTTTTGCAACCTATCCAGATTGCTCTCTTTCCTTGAGCGGCGTGTTCTCCATCCGCTGATGGAAAGCTGGACGTTAACCTGGTTCAGGCCTCCGGGTTTAGGTGTCAGTTTCGGGGGATGGTTGGGACAGGAATGAAAACCCAAACCCGTACCCCTCAGCCTTCCTGTTGGCCCCTAAGACGAACTAGACCAACAATCAGACTCATGCCGATCAATCTTTCCGGCTTCAAAAAGCCTGAGAAAGTAGCTGGTGGTGGTGGTGGTGGTGGTGGTGGTGGTGGTGGTGGTGGTGGTGGTGCGTCGTGGTAGTTGTTGTAGGAGGCGGATGAGGTAGAAGAATTATGTAGAGGAAGAAGGAGTGGTAGTAATAGTAGTAGTAGTAGTAGTAGTAGTAGTAGTAGTCGTGATAGTAGTGGTAGTAGTAGTGGTAGTGGTAGTGGTAATGGTAGTGGTAGTAAAAATAATAGTAATAATGACAGTAATAGTAATAGTAATAGTAATGGTAATAGTAATAGTAATAGTAATAGTAATAGTAATACAAATACTAATACAAATTCTAATGCTAATACTAGTACTAATACTAGTACTAATACTAGTACTAATACTAATACTAATACTAGTAGTAGTAGTAGTAGTCGTAGTAGTAGTAGTAGTAGTAGTAGCATTAGCAGTAGTAGTAGTAGTAGCAGTAGGAGTAGTAATAGTAGTAGTAGTAGTAGTAGTAGTAGTAGTAGGAGTGTAGTAGTAGTAGTAGTCGTCGTCGTCGTCGTCGTCGTCGTCGTCGTCGTAGTGGTAGTGGTAGTGGTAGTGGTAGTGGTA